TAACTCACTGATGACAATAGTGGATGTGTCGCTCAATTTCGTGGATTAGTTGAAGTTAACCATTAACACCGTTGGATGCATGCTCAGTGGTCTAGAGGTTAAGCGCTCGCGTGCGAGACTCTTCGATCCCGAGTTTGAATCCCACGAGGCGGGATCGTGGTTGCGCACTGCTGGGAAATCTCACAATAGACCTAAACAGCCATCCAATGCTTCCAAGCTTTCCATGGTTATCTAGCTTCACTGGATTCATAATCTCAACTATTGAAGTTATTATACAAATTTAGTTTGTAATCAATGGGCATCTAATCTCACTTTAAAGTAAAATGTTCTAGGTTCGAAACCTAGAATGAAAATCAACACCAAATTATAGATACATTTAGCTAACAAGTTCTAAGTAGTATAAAACAAGCGTCATGGATTCCATTGCCAACCATATAACAATTATTCTATGTAATCACTGTATTGATTGAATTATTCATATACAAATACATCAAAATAAACATGTTAAATAGGTCAAATACATGACATTATATAAATAAATAACAATAACAGAGAAAATAAACAACAAACTTTGGAACAAGTAAGGAATATTTAAACGTTAACATAATTACTATGTAAGAATTTGTATATAACCAATGTTAATGAATAACGTATTGTCGTTTTGAGTGTAAGGTACTTTGTCCAAGTCTCCATGTGAACATTAACACTGGAATGGAATTAAATTCATCTGATAAGTATAACACATGACATAATATGTATCCCCGATTGCATTACTAGCCACAACCTTTTACGACAATACAAGCATATATGATAAGTACATCACTTTACACCCGGTTATCCGTATAAATAACCCCATTTATATTAATCGATTTATTGTTGCTATGTTACTTACTTACGCCTGTTAACTGTTGTCGAGGAACATGAACCGTCTACTAGCTTTTGCCATTCAACTCTGTACTGGACATTCCTTTCTAGTTGTTTCCAGTTGCTATTCATCCTTTTCATGTGTAAGGTCGGTGAAATGTCACTGAGCCTTAGACAAATCATCCAGCAGTTGGGTCACTGAATATCGAAAGGATCATCGATCTCTGTCAAAGTCAAGGACAACCAACGCGAATCAGTTGATCGTATATTATGGACTGGTCCATGCGGTTGTGGTTTCACTATCTGCTCTGTATTCATTCTTACCAATTTATTTCCGTAATAACGTCGTCTGTGTTATACGGTCTTCAAAGCAGACACAATACTTTGATACGTCGAAGAGATAATCCACGTTAGGTGTTGACCGACAGCTATGACTTCGAAGTTAGTTGGCTTGTCACACCATTCCTGTGTAACTCGAGTAGGCACCAACCACTCGACAGAGATCATCGCCGTTGATGATCTACACATGTTTGCTTCCAATGCTCCACGTAGTGTGTGTGTTCTTCCACATTCCTCTTTTCCATTTCCCTTCACTATTCCAGGTAGCAAGCGCTTGCCTCGTGATGCAGTTTAGTGATTTCCGTAATGCATATCTTATCCACCAACTCGATAGTCTCTTCCTAATTTCCTTCTCATATGGAAGCTGGTTTGTTCTCTCCTACGTTTGACTGCTACTGATTGTATCCGGTCAACTACGGACATTGAGTATCTTTGAGTAGACAAACGTTAGTTTGTTTTCTCATTTAGTACGCCATTTTTTGACGCTTTCAAGGATATTAAGACGTTGTATATATTACTCATCGGTCGTGTGCTTGTTCTTCGTTCTTTTAGGCTGCTTGTGAAATTATATATTTTCCTTGCTGAATCTAACTTTCTTCCTATAGTTAGCAGGGCTGAAGCGCAGATGAATAGTTTAGCATGTCTTATTGTTGAGTTGCTGAATTTCGTTGAGTTCTCCAGTTTAAGATGATAACTTAATTCCTTGAACATAACAGAAACAATTTACATTCATGAAAAAACAATTCAATAGACTCGATAAATCATGTTACATACGTAAATCTTATTTCAATAAGTTCTGTTTTGTTTCTCTAAACATGGAATACAATGTAAAACAAAATTCCCCACCTACAACATTCATAAACAAAAACAGTAACTATCATAATAATATTAAAGGTAAATGTGATGTTAAACACTAAGTTGAACGCTAATAAGGAAACTATTTAATGAACATTTTGTGTGAAAGAATTGACATTTACTATTTCAAAAGGCACATGATCTTGTACGTATGCATTGTCTTATTTATGTATTGCAGACATTATTTATTAATGATAGCTTTATGCTACGAGATTTTTAATCATCACTGTATATATTATGAAGATAGTACTGTACTCGAAAATAATATCAAGACTAACTTTACACTTCAGCTGCATGGTATCCTTCATATTATTAATAACTCTGTGATGACTTTGGATGACGTAGAATCCTTCACATACCTGGGAAGCATCATCGATGAACAAGGAGGAACAGATGTAGACGTAAATGCAAGGATTGGCAAAGTAAGGACCGCATTCCTACAATTGAAGAAACAACATATGCAACTCAAAACGACTGTCTTTTTAACCAATATCAAAGTCAAAATCTTCAATAAGAACGTCAACACAACCCGTCCTACTGCACAGAGCTGAAACCTGGACAAATACTACAACCATCATCAAGAAGGTGCAAGTATTTGTAAACAACTGTCTACGCAAGATACTCAACATCCATTGGTCGGATACCATCAGCAACAGCCTTCTCTGCGAGAGAACAAACAACCTTCCAGGTGAAGAGGAAATTAGGAAAAGACGATGGAAATGGATAGGACATACATTACACAAATCATCAAACTGCATCACGAGCCAAGCCCTAATTTGGAATCCTGAATGGAAGCGGAAAAGAGGAAGGTCGAAGAACACATTACGTCGGGAAATAGAAGCAGTTATGAAAAGGATGAGTAACAAGTGGAAAGAGCTGGAAATGATTGTCCAGGACGATGTTGGATGGAGAATGCTGGTGATCGGCCTATGTTCCTTTACGAGAAGTAACAAGCGTAAGCAAGTAAGTAAGACGACCAAAATAATACACGCTTTTTAATGATGCTTGTCTTGTCTCAACCTGATCTTGCCCATAAATTGACATGAATTTATGATAATTTTTAATATATACATAATTAAAGTTTTGGGTGTTGACTATTAAGCGCTAACTGACTGATCTAAAGGTATTATGTTTACTGTTATACTCTCAGGTCATATATTCTTTTCTATGTAAATTTGTAGGAGGTCCTTTTTGACAGTAATAAACTAAAGAAATAGCTTTTTAGAGCCCAGACCACGAAATTAATAGCAATTCTTAATTTAAAAAGAATTAAAGACAATGCAAAGGTGACTTTCTTTTAGACTATATAATTTGTTGAAACTGTACAATTGTATTTATATTATATGATTTACATCATAAATTGATTTTACTTATATAAGCATTGTCAACCAACAGATAATGGATAGTTACTTCGTCCTAGTATCGGACTCCATAGCAACGAACATTGACAACCTCATCAGGGGGTCGAACCCATGACTTTCAGGTTTGAGGCAAACTTTTGAACTTCCGAACACCGGATGATCATTCAATAGTTGACATATATAACTTCAATCGTTTCACTATATCACGTAACCATCTTTCAATGTTATTGGTAGATAATTGTCATACAGACAATATGGTTAAACGTCACGGGTCATAACTAGAACTCAGTGTTTTTAATCCAATTTAACTTATATGATAATCTGTTAGGATGTAGAGGTGTATTGCTTGATAAGCTGCTTAAATATATCACATATCAAAATAAGATCATATAACCATCTAATATCTATTATTTTCAAATATGTAATCAGAGGGAAAACTCACATCAAGATAAATAACTTTTAAGACTATGATTATCAAAGAATCTTCAATAGTGCAATCTATATATGGATTCCAACAGGGGTGTTTACGTGTTATTTATGTCTTAAGCTAAAGTTAATAATTTGATATTTAGACAGGTTAAATATGAGATCAATAATAACAAATCACTATTCAATACAAGACAAGAACTTGTTCATTTCAAAGGGATATAAAGTGGCACAAGTTGGCATACATACACACATACATACAGTGAGATCACCCACATATTTCACAAAAGTGTTCTCTATAAAGATGGCAGATCATCTAGAAAAAAGAAAAATGAAAAGAACAGAACACAATCATGATCTATGAATCAATGGATTACATTTGATTGAGATCATGAATCGATTGATGTTAGACCACCGTTGGAACCTGGGAGCACTGGATGGCCGTTTTGTCTTATTATGGGACTCCTTAGCAGTACGCATTCACGATCACGCTCGTGGGACTCGAACCCAGGACCTTCAATCTCGCGCGCGAACGCTTAACCTACCGGGTCGCTGAGCCGGTATTCATTGGTGCTAGTGTCTGACATCAACCAATCCTACAAGCGGGATAGTGGATGCGCACTGCTAAGGAATCCCACAATAAGACAAAACGGCTGTCCAGTGCTTCCAGGTTTCTAACGGTGGTCTAACATCAATCGATTCATGATCTCAATCAAAAACTTAATAATCTCCACAATCCCTATACTGAGAATTACGTTTGATTGAATTTTACCTTTATGTTATGAATCCTAATAATTACCCCATAACTAGTTACATCTTGTTTATTAGGGTAATAATATTAATTAAACATTCAAATCATTTAAGTTCAAATTTCATTTTATTTTTCAATGGGTAAAATGGAATGAAATTTGGAGTGTTTTAACATTAATTAGGAAACAAGGTTACTGGATCAAGATGTCTGCAGTAATAATAATAATAATAATAATAATAATAATATTGATCAACTAACCGAAGATTTAATTATTTGTATCTACATAGATGGCTATGTGTGCAGATGATGTGCCTGTGCGGCCTTCACTGTGCACATCTATCTATCTATCTACCTATCTATCTATCAGTTATATGTAGCCAAGTTTCTTCTATTTGGTTAAATTCATGATACATGTATATGATATGGTATGATTCATCTAAACAGAAAAAGAAAGAAACAACACAGATTACATGTAGTAATATGCTGTTTATTATCAACAGGTTATAAGGATGGGTTAATTAATTTAATAAAAATAATGAGAATTTTTCGGTATTATTCAAGATCATTAAACACATTGAATAGTGATGATAATAGTACTTACTTAGTTATGCCTGTTAACCCTCATCGAGGAGCATAGACTGTCTACCAGCACTCACCATCGAACTCTTTCATCGATAATCCCTTCCACTTGTTCAAGTTGATATTTATCCTTTTCATGTCTGATTCCAATTCTCCACGTTGTGTGTGTATTCTTGCACATTCGTCTTTTCCATTTCCCTTCACCATTCCAAATAGTAAGCGCTTGCCTCATGATGCAGTTTGGTGATTTCTGTAATGTATATCCCCTCCAGCAAATCCATAGTCTCTTCTTAATTTCCTCCTCATCTGGAAGCTCGTTTGTTACCTCCCACGGTAGGATGTTGCTGATTGCTTCTCGTCAACAACGGACATTGAGTATCTCGCATGGACAACTGTTTACAAATACTTGTACCTTCTTGATGATTGTTGTATTAGTTCTTTAAGTTTCAGCTACATACAGTAGAACTGACTGTATTGATGTCCACATTGAAGATTGTGACTTTGATATTGGTTGAAAAGACAGTTTTCTTTGAGTTGCATGTGTTGTTTGTTCAACTGTAGGAATGCGGTCCTTGCTTTGCCAATCCCCTCCTTTACGTCTGCATCCAATCCTCCTTGTTCATCGATGATGCAGCTGATCACTAAATCCGTGAAAGATTTCACATCTTCCAGAGCTTCTCCATCAAGTGTGATTGGGTTGGTTTTCCCCTTGTGTATGTTGAGGCCTACTGATGCAGATACTGCTGCTACACTGGCTGTCTTTATCCGCATTTGTTCGTTTGTATGGGACAGGAGGGCTAGGTCATCTGCGAAGTCTAAATCGTCCAATTGATTCTGAGCTGTCCATTGTATTCCGTGTTTTCCTTCAGATGTCGAGGTCTTTATAATCCATTCGACGACCAGAAGAAAGAGGAGGGGGGGTAGACACCCTTGTCTGATATCAGATACCAGAAAAAAAAACAGCTGGTCAGCAATATATCAGTCATTTTTTAGATGATAAATATACTCAAGTCCATACAAAGTATCTGACACAAAATAAGCATGATTAAAATGTATTCAAAACATAAATGATTATTCGATTCTGGTTTTAAAGGTGACTTAGATACCAATAAATTTAAGTCCTTATAATTATGCTCATTCATTGACTATTATATCATTGTGTAGATATCTCAGTTCTACTGAGAAGTCAGTTATATTCTGTCTCCGGCTGAGTCAATTTATATACTCATTGAACATAAATAGTTTACATAAGTTTCTGTTCAACAATCGAGAATAATGAGTTGTTAATCTGAATCTAGTATTTGATAATCTCGTTTGGTTCATTATCAATTACACTATCTACATTCTATTTGTAAAATAAATCTTTTCTTTCCAAGTATATTTTATAACTTCAAAAAGACATTTTACTGGACATAATGTCCAATAAGATGTAAATAGTCCAATTTCACACTAATTATAGTCACTTATAAGTCAACAATATAACGTTTTTCTAGTTCCTAATGATGATCTAATTATATTAGTCAAACTGAAATGTAGTCAAGAGTCTGAAGGAATTGATATCATGGTATAATTAACCAGATATTTTGTATCATAGTATATTAAGTAAATTGGTGAATTTGGATTTCCATATCACAAACTGATTTTGTTCAAATTATCTTTGAAACCAGGTTACAAAGGTCAATTATTTCTTTCTTTTATTATATTATGTGTTGAGCTTAGGATATGCAGGACTCATGATGAGAACTTAACTTTCAGATCACTGGATTACAATATAACGGTTCATATTTTTAACTTCAATCTATCTGTGATATTGTACATTCACCATATAGTGTGAAGCAGTGACCAATGGAGTTTAACCATATACATGAGATAAATGTCAACAGTGTTAGTGTACGATGGTCACTAAATATCCCAAATTCGTTGAAGTCAAAACTATATCATTAGATACCTGAACAATGGTTCAAAGGCCAGACACTCGCTAAAAGGCCTGAATTTCCTAGGTTTGATCGCTGATGTGGTCATAGATGTTAGCTAATGAGAAGGTCAACACTAAGACTTAAAAGCTGTTTATTTCTTCTAGGTTTTCAATTAGATATTATGTAGTTAAATGCAGTCGTTTGGACTCATAAATCTATGATTTCGTGTACGTTCAGTAGTTGTTAGCAAACTTGTCTATAATTCTGATCAAACTGATGTTCAAAACCAAGTATCTATCAACTGATTTATAACGAAATTTATTTATGGTACGTTTCGAGTATCGAATTTCATATATTTGTTAATATTTTAAATGATATAATGCTTTGTTTGTGCTTTTATAAAGATCTTATATAACTTAAGTGAAGTTTTCATCATAATCATACATATATTATAGAAATCATCAAAGTGAATAGTGAAGGGAAACAGAAATGAGGAAGACCAAAAAAACACACTACATCGAGAATTGTAAGCAGACATGAAAAAGGATGAATAACAACTAGAAAGAATTAGAAAAGATTGTTCAGGATAAAGTTGGATAACAGTGGCCTATACTCCTCCACGTGGAGTAAAAAGTGTAAGTATGTAAATTTCATCATAATCTCAAGGAAAAAAGTGTGAACAATTGTTTTGTCTTAGAGACTAATCAAGAAACTAAACTGTCAACTACCACAAAATACCATTTATAACTTATAGTTGATAATAATACCCATAGAGATTACTGAGTTTCACTCAATTCATAGTATAGCACAATTTTTCCCAATTATTATCTTAGTTGTAAGCAATGATGGATAATGGATAGCAGTGGAATCCAGGATGCGCGTTTCGTCCTATTTGAGACTCGTCAGCTGGATGTACCTGCATCTCAGAGTTGATGTTCACTTTGGGACTGGAACCCAATACCATTCGCTTCAAACGCTATCGCATTATCCACTCAGCTACTGCATACTGATAGCCACCATCATTGCTTACAAATAGATTGTGAATTAAGGTAATATCGAGGCATACGCATAGTGTGCACATATGCCAATAACAGACCGATCAATTGCAGTCTTAAACCTCAATGGGAAGATACAAGCCAAACAATACCAAGTAAACTTAATTACATTTTCTTTCATATTTTGTTCATTATTCAGATAGATAGATATTTTTTTGTTGTTTTTATTTGTCATCGACCAGTAATCATAACAAAATACTTTGGCTCTCATGTTTGTTTTTCCTATCTTTATTGATTTCATTACAAAATGATTGGAAACATTTTACACAATGCATATGAATGCAACTACAAAAACAACTGTTTGCACATATTATGTATATACGCTATATACATACATCGGTATAAATGTGCTTCCTCAACACTCACACACACACACACTCACACACTATTTTCTTCCCATAATTTCTCTATCTATCTCACTTTTTTTTCATCCACAAATGTTCATATTGATTTTCTTTCCCTACATGTTTTATCAGACAAAACAATCAGTGTTAGTCAACCTAGTAACATATTTGTATATAGGATACAAAATCTCATATATGCATATACATAAAGAAGGCATCTATGTCGATTTCTACAAGTCTGTTTATGATGAAAGCATACATATACGTGCACACACACACATACATACATAGACATTTGTGCCGGTTGTAATACCCTAACTATAACACTAATTACACTAACAATAACAAACTAATCATAATAATGACGACGACGACGACTACAATGACTATACTGATAGAAGTTACTGATTGCATAAATAAACAGTAAAGATTGGTTCTAAATTATGCATCATATTAAATACGAAAAAAAAATACAAAAAAAATACAAAAAAATAAAAATAAATAAATAAATGCCTCATTCCAAGAAAGTACCAATATTAAACTTCATTCATTTTCACCTAGTTACTAAGTCATAATAATAATCATGTATCTAACTTAACTTTTGTTTCTATTGCCTTTCAATAAAATCGCGCGAAATTTTTTAAAATTGAATTTGAACATTTTAACTCATTCAAAATGATCAATTATCAATATTGGCAATATTTAATAAAATTTGGATTTATTTTTATGATCATATTAAATAATGATCTAATTATTATATGTCAACAATCAATTCATAATGATTATGATCAAATTATCAAATAAATAATGAATTCAATGAATATGATATATTTACATCGAATTTAATAAATATACAAAAGAAACCATATAATTTAACATTATTCAATATACAAGATTCATTACCAATATCAGCTATATCATTAGCTATTGTATTTGATTCAACTGGCTCTATGGGTAATGATTTAAAACAAGTGAAAATTGGTTCAAGACGTATATTACAAAGACATTTACAACGTGGTGAATCAAATTATATAAAAGATTTTGTTTTAGTTAAAGTACATGATCCAGGTAAGTTAGAATATATATAATTTTAATTTAATGTCTATTATAAATTGTCAATAATTAATGCCTTCAAATATCCTGGTACGGTTAAGGGTAGAGAGAGAGAGAGAGAGAAAGAGTCTAGTATCCCTTTTGAAATGTTCTCATATGGCCATGTATATATAGCCATTGCGTCAGAAGTATAGATTACAAAATTGAGAGTACGAAAAGCTAATGTCCGACACTTTAACCGGATTGGTCGGTATAAAGAATCCATCTAGGGGAGATGGAAAACCCTAGGAAACCAGGATAAAAATGACTACAATGATATTTCATCTCCTGACGTTTCTCCACTACCTTATGGATCAACTCTTAAAGGTCGAAAGCTCTAGGTATGATCCTTTAAGAAAACGACCTGCTTCAGTATGAATAACTACAAAACACGATTGGATTCAACTTATTTCTATCTGATCATTATTCATACAACTAGATTATAACTGATCATTCATAAAAGTCAAATTCATCTGACCGAAATAAAATCTATACCATTATTGTTTAGATACAATTGACTTCACTTCCTAGTACGGGACTCCTTAGCAGTGCGCATCCACAATCCCGCACCCCGCGAGACTCGAACCCATTATTATTATTATTATTATTATTATTATTATTGTCTCCTCTTGCCCCCCCTCATTTCCAGTCTAGTTGACCTTTTATTTTTAATATCCAATGACATTTGAACAACTTGAATAAAAAGTCTCAATAATCAATGTATTTACATGTTGATTCTTTAGTATTCACTTAAATTAACTGAACTAAAATGAACATCTACTTGACTATTGTGGTTTCCATTAAGACTTGAATTAAGTGTATTCATCACTTGAACTATATCACAGGTTCATTTAAGCAAAATATTAAAGCTAACGTTCTGTTTTCCTACTTCTGGGTATTATGCAAAATAGAATAACAATGATTATTTAAAAGAAAAAGTCTATTATTCAGTAGTATACAATGAATTTGAATAAAAATAAAATGATAATAATAAGAATAAGTTTGTAACCATATTACTATAATAGGTAATAGCTTTCACAAACATTTTATAATTAAAGAGGGATTTTTGTGGATATTATACTAATTTTAATAGTTGAATTCATAAGTCAATTGAAGCTAGACCATCATGAAAAACATGGGAAGCACTGAATAAACCTTTTGTCCTAATGGTTTATGTTTAGTTAATTAGAATGTTGGATTGTATCACCTTAATATACTGAAATATTAATAGTATTTAGAGATTTGCTACAAATAGAACATTATTATACCATATAAATGTTTTGTAAACAAACATGGATGGCGGCTAACAGTGAAATACAGGACTCGTGTTCTGTTCTATTTGGAACTCGTTGGTTGGATGTACCTGCATCACGCTGGGATTCGAATCCAGTACCGTTCGCTTTAAACACTATCGCTTTATTCACTGAGTCCAAATATTCACTAGCTAGTGCAATGAGGGAAGTTTAGATTCATTTTGCATCGGTTGTTTGAATCTTCCCATTAATGTTTGAGACTACAATCCGTATAGAATGAACATATGATAATAAGAGATTGATCAATACAAAATGAATATAAATGCTTTATTTTCACATTTACTATGAGTAAGCAGAATTCTAATTTTTCCCTGAAAAACTATTTGACAAGTAGTGCAAATATTTCCAAACTACTTCATCTTTCAGTAGTTGAAATCATGAGTCAATTAAAGCTAGACCACAATAGAAAACCTGAAAGCACTAGACAGCCGTTTCTTCCTATTGCAAGACTCCACAGCAATGAGCATTCACGACCCCGCCCCGCGGGATTTGAACCAGGACCTATCAATCTCACGCGCGAGCACCTAAACACTGAACCACTGAGCCGGCCGTCATCCAGCGGTATTAATATCTAACTTCAACTAATCCACGAAATTGAGCGACACATTCAACATTGTCATAACCATTTCATATAATGTACTATATGGGAAAATCAGATTTATTTATTGTTTTAACTTAAAGTTTTCGTTTAGTCATGTCACTGGGGTCTAGTTTTTAAATCATTGATTACATCTTTTTTTCTGTCATATAATGTCAATAAATAGAGGAATTACAAATATGAATTGATAACATAGAAAAATACAAAGTGTTGAATGAATGTTTATAATTTGATAGTTGAATCCTGACTTTACTATGTTCGTTACTAAAATCTGATACAGTAATGATTATAAATAGTTCAGTTTAAAAAGACAAAACATTTTTCATACAACGTACTAATCTACTTATAAGCTACTTATTATTAAACAATAACTACTTACTTACGCCTGTTACTCCTAATAGAGCATAGGCCACCGACCAGCATTCTCCAACACACTCTGTCCTGGGCCTTCCTTTCTAGTTCCATCCAATTCTTGTTCATTTTTATCATGTCTGTCTTCATTTTTCAGATACCATGTGAGGGCTTGACTTGTGACTGAGTTGTGTGTTTTCCTCAATGTGTGTCCTATCCACTTCTAACGCTTCTTCTTAATATCTTCCTCCGCTGGGATCTAGTTTGTTCTCTCTCATAGTACATTGCTGATAATAGTGTCAATAACTAAGTTATGTAATACTTTGCAATGTGATGTAAATAGAAAGTAACTAATAACTAATAGGAATTTGTTACTTCATTAAAAAAGCGGACGATATTTCAATGAAGAAAAAGTAGTCTATATTTAATGTCTACAACGGTCTAGACAGGAGAAAAAATAAAGGTGGTATAACTACTTTTATGTATCAAATCGAATTTATGTAATGATCTTAAATGATAGTGTAAAAAAATAGTCTATGAGGGAGGGGTGAAGTAATTTCCTGGAATTTTTAGTGAGTTCAATCCGTGTTGGGTGGAGACAGTTATGCACTTCAGACCACCATCAGAAGGGTTGTGCAAAATCATGGATCGACTGAGGTTAGACACTAACACCGTTAGATGTTGAGTTACTGATTTAGAGGTTAAGAGTCTGGTCGTAAGAGAGAAGGTCCTGGCTTCTAATCCCACATGTGGTATTGTGAATGAACACTGCCAATGAGCCCCATATTGGGACGAAACGACTGTCCAATGTTGCAGGGTTTTCAGTGATAGTCTAACTTGGATTTACTCATGGATTTAACTACTAGAATTGTAAAAGTTAATTAATTAACAAAACTCCATCAATATCATCCATCTAAGCTACAAATCTTCCATACCATCTCAAAAAGGAGGTGATTCTCTGGGAATTCAATATGTATATCTTTTTGTACTTTAACTAAGCACTTGTGTTATAATGTTTTTATATTGTCCTAATTGACAGCTATTTAACTCCGTAACTGTTGCTACATCTCTTACCAGTCGCAAATAACAGTAAATAAATCATAAAGCGTTTACTCAGTTTGTATCTTTTTTGGTATTCTGATTGATACTTTAAGGAATCGATATTACATGGGTTACCGAATGTTTTGGGATATACAGTGAGCAATGCTAAAGGATTAATATATAGTGAGGGTAAGTAAGAAAAAATCATAACATTGTTAGTGTAATGTAGCCAAAATTCAACACACTTATCTAGTCATTCAATTCAATGTTTCGAATAATTATAAAAAAGATTTCGATGGGATTATGAAATTAGAAGTGATCAGGTGGTATGATAATGATCATGTTAAATAAATTATAATTTAATAGTTGAATTCATGAGCTAGATCACCATGATTAAACCTGAAAGCACCGGATGGCTGTTTCGTCCTCAACAGTGAGCATCCACGATCCCACTCGCGGGATTCGAACCCGGGACCTATCAGTCTCATGCACTGCTGAGGAGTCCCATACTAAGATGAAACAGCTGTCCAGTGCTTCTAGGTTTTCCATGGTGATCTAGCTTCAATTGACTCATGATCTCAACTGTTGAAATTACTGCAATCTCCACGAAACCCCATCTGATACTGATGCACATATGCTCACTAGTGACTGGCTTCAAGAGGTATATACTGGAGTTCTAGTGAGAAGCAGTGACCAGTTGAGTTCAACCGGGTCAGTTGTGAGATAGTAACTCACTGACGACAATGGTGGATTTGTCGCTCAGTTTCGTGGATTAGTTGAGGCTAGACATTAGCACCGTTGAATGGCGGCCGGCTCAGTGGTCTAGGTGGTTAAGCGCCTGGCGCGAGACTGATAGGTCTTGGGTTCGAGTCCCACGAGGCGAGATCGTGGGTGTACACTGCTGATGAGTCCCACGCTAGGAGAAAACGGTCTTTGAGTCCTACCGGGTTTTCCATGGTGGTCTAGCTTTAATTTACTCATGAATTCAATTATTAACTTACTAAAATCTTCACAAAACCCCTTTCTGATAAATTATAATCTATTGGTTATAACTAATTTGTTTAAATTCATTCTGTGAATAGTATATTGAATTTTCCCACGAACAAATTAGTGACTAACAATCATAATAATAATAATACCGAATATCAAGGAATTTTCATGTAGTCTACAGGAACTCAATTGCAGTCTGATTAGTTAATAATCAACCTCTTTGAATAATAACACTAGGTTAGATGGTTTTCAATTTCATAGGGAAGTTTTCATGAGTATCAGCTATTTTAAGACTGTAGATGCATCTTTTGTAATAAATCAAATTAAGAGTTTTGTCGATTGATCTATCTGAAGTTTGTGTTGATGATGTCGTTCAGAAGGACGATGAAAGCTCCACGACCAAACCATCCAGCTCAGAGAACAAAACTGCACCAAATTGATCTAAAGAACATTTGAATGTTTTAATGTAATCAAAAATCAATAATGAAAACTGAATACATTAATTTACTACTGATTAGGTTATGTACGTTTCATTTCACTTTAGTTTTCATTAGGTGATTGACGGTGAGACTATTCTTTATGGATGACCATTGAGCGACGCTAGACTGACCTCTTGAGAATGTCCATCTAATAACCAGTACCAAACGAGAGTTATAAACTTGCATGAGGAATAAGAATTGTAA